ATTGGAATGATTTACTGAGGGTCATGGTGGATTCTCCATCACTGAGAATTTTTAAATCAAGACTGGATGTTTTTCTAAAAGCTCTGCTCTAGAAATGATTTTGGGGAAGTTCTATGGACTGTGTTATTCAGGAGGTCAGACAAGATGATCGCAATGGTCCCAAAGAACTTCCCTGTATTCATTTCTACTTTAAATCCAATCGCTGTGCCTGAACTAGATCCTATCTATTAGAAAAACCTCCAATCTTGATTTAAAAATGTCCAGTGTTGGAGAATCCACCACAACCACTAAGTTGTTCCGATAGCTAATTGCCCCCCCTTAAAAATTTGCACTTTATTGCTAGTCTGAATTTGTCTAGCTTCAACTTCCAGCCATTGGATCTTGTTACAGTGTTGTCTGCTGGAGTGAATTTCAGTCATCCATGTAGGTACTTATATGATCAAGTCATCTCCTAACCTTGTCTTTCATAAGCTAAATAGATATGGCTAAGGGGGGAGGGTTGTGTGTTTGGGGGTGTTCAGTAGCTGGAGGGAGAGGGTTGCTTTTGAGTGTGTGTTCTGGTGGATTATTGTAGCTTAGGGAACAGGTTTATGTTTGTTCTGGGAGGTGTAGGTGAGGGGGTGAGTTGTGTGTGTATTTTGGAGTTAGTGTATAGCCTGCAGGGGAGGTACTTGTGTGTGTTCTGGAGGGTTGTGTGTAGCTGAGGGGGGAGAGTAGTTCATGTGGTTTTGGGTGTGTAGATGAGAGTGGAAGTTGTGTGTTGTAGGGGGGTGGTTTATACCCGAGGGGGGGAGGGGAATGCATGTGAGTTTGGGGCAGTGTGTAGCAGAGAGGAAGGGGTGTGTATGTATGTTTTGGAGGTGGTGTGTGGGTGAAGGGTCTCAGATTGGTTTGTTTGTGGTGGTGTTTAGGTGAGGAGGCAGGGTGTGTGTGTATTTTGGTGTGTGTGTGTGTGTGTGTTTGTAGGTGGTGTGTAGCTGAGGAATGGGGTTGTGTATGTTTTGGAGATTGTGTGTAGCTAAGGGATGGGTTTGTGTGTGGTGTGTAGCTGAGGGATGGATTCTATGTAGCTGAGGGGCAGGGTAGTGTGTATTTTGTGGGTGGTGTGTAGCTGAAGGGCAGGGTAGTGTGTGTTTTGTGGGTGGTGTGTAGCTGCAGGACAGGGTTTCCTCTTCCCCTGAGGGGTAAGCTGGTGGTGGTGGGCGGCAAAGGAAGGAGTGACCTCTTTCTTGGTCTCCCCCATACAACCTGTCATTCCCTGGCAGGGTGTCCGTTCACAGCTCCTGCTATCTGTGGGGGAGGCTAGTGCAGCGCTGGATTGGGACACCTTTACTAGGCAGTGAGTGTTGTGAACACATTTGCTACAGGGAGGAGGTGGGATTTCTGCCACTTGTTAATTAAAGACTTGTCTTGAGTCAGCAAGGTCAGAGGCCAATTGCTCCCTGGAGATTGGGGCTCTGGCTGTTGACCCTTTGGCTCTGTTCTGTCCTGAAGACACAGCCCTAGTTCATACTATGCAGGGCTTTTTTGCCTTGGCCTCCAGATTAGCCACCATTTCTTTGCATATGCTCTTTGCTATCTGACTCTGGCTACGAGTCGAGGCTGGGAGTGGGTGTTGGAGGCTGGGAGATCACACGGACATTGTTTATAAGTAACCCTGGTTAGTTAAACCCAATGACGGTGCAACTCCTAACTTCACAGACTAGATAGTTTCAGCACAGTAATTTTTTTTTAATCACCTCACCCATCTTGTAAAGATAACAATGTACAAAGCACTTAGCTTGGAGATAACAAAGGGCATTTGTGTCCAAAAGACACACTTCAGTCATTCAAGGATAGCCACAGATGAATGGTATCCGTGTTTACTCCATATTGTAGGCAGCATGGGTAATGACACCGATAATCAAGGTTGCCTAACAGGGTAGCCCCACCTGGGATGCCCTCTTGCAGGAGGTCATGGTAGGACATTTACCTGCCTTGATTTCCCTCTTTAGAGACCCCAGTAACTCCCCAACTGCTCTCTTGCCTCAATAGTTCCCCTCATTGGGGCCAGTTTCTTACAAAATGTAATTTAAACAAAAGTCCCCAAACATACCCCTCAGGGTGTATAGTCCCTAAATACCACACCTTCTAGTCTAGTCCATTGACAGAGCACATACCACGCTTGAGCATCTTCCACCCCATCCAGGCACTTCCTCAGCTCTCTCCTGTCCTTTTATCAGGACAGCCACCCCACCGCCTCACTCTTCCCAGCAGCTTCTTGGCTGGGAGATCATCCTCACCAGGGGAGCATGCCTGACCTCCCCGTGGCCCTCTCACTGGTCCCCTGTGTCCAGCTCCCCTGTATGGAGATATCAGTGGGTAAGCCCCTCTGCTGCTCCCCTGCCCCCTCCAGCCCATGGCTTTGGTTCTCTGACTTAGAGTCAATAGGCAACACCCTTTGCTACTCTCCTGCCTTCAGTTTCCTGCTCTCAGACAGCACTCACCTATTGAGCACCAGACTGCAAGACAGCTCTCACCTGACTGACTCCCTGAGGCCTAGCTGCCCTTTTTAAAGCCCAATTGGGGTCAGCTGACCAGTCACAGGTGCACTGACCTTTTTCCTCTTAAAGGACAAATGTCATCCTGTGACACCCCATTGCTTAGAACTTTGCCAAACTTTAATCCTTTGGGCTGAAATGTCCCATGCTTGGTGTCTACCTCAGATCAATTTTTTTTTTAAATTTCAGATAGAGTTATTCAGCCACTTCCCAGATTGAGATTATAGGGGGAAATATGTTGTCTTGTCCATGTTTAAAAATATTTACAGTCTTTTTTTTAAGAAGCTCTAGCACCCCCAGTCTTTGGAGCAGGGACTTTACATTTTGCTGCAGGGTCACTGTGATATCAGGGATGTGCCTTTTGCTGCTCCTGTGACAATCCAGCCAAATATAGCCAAATTCTGTAAATTACAGGGTGCAGATTCAAAGCCAGTCAGACCAGAACATTTCACCCACTTGACCCTGCACTGGGCTCAGTAACTTGCATTTGACAAAAACGTCTTGATTGAACATATCAAGAGATGGAGACTCCACCTTGGTTAATCACCCTCACTCTTAAAATTGGTGCCTTATTTCTCATTTGAATGTGTCTGGTTTCAGCTTCCAGCCATGGGTTTTTGGTCTGCCTGTCTCTGCTAGATTAGAGAGCCCCTTACTACCTGGTATTTTCTCCCCACAAAGGTGCTTATACACTGTAATCAATCACCTCTCAATCTTCTTTTTTGATAAACTAAACAGATTGAGCTCTGTGAGTCTCTCACTGTAAGGAGGGCCAGTAGAGGTTTATTAGAATTCAGCAGAGCTAAATTCTCCAAAGATTTTGGCTGTGGGCTACAGTGGCCGAGCAGGACTTTCTGTGTAATTGCTCTTCCTGGCTGCTGGGGGTTGTTGTGAGGCCAGAACTGACAGCAGGGAAATTATCTTTCTTCTGGTCTCAGTGCTACCTCCACCGGAGCTCGCCATGGAGGCAAAGGAGGAAACTGCCTGCACTCTGATTGGAATGCATAGGGGTAGGACAGGAGCTGAAGAAGGGGTGGTGGGATGGGAGCACAGGGAACAGTGACAGGAATCAGGGGTGGGAGAGAGTAGGAGCAGAGAGGGATGTCAGGGACAGGTTAGGGCACAGGTGCAGAAGAGTCTATATGTTCCTCTCTGGAAGAACATGGGAATGAAGCCAAGTACTTTGAGTGCCTACATTCCTCTGCTGTTAGCCAATAGCTATAAAAACCACTGTGTATCTCATCCTGTTGTACTGACTGGTCCATATTGAGGATAACAGCCTGCTACTGCTATCAGTTACTTTACCTCAGTGGTAGAGGTCTGTGCTGTGAGTCTAAAGGACCCAACCCTGCTGTTGTCCCAGTATGGTTCCACATAATACAATTTCCATTTTAATCAATTTGCTTTTTAAAAATATAAGACATTACATTTAAAAAAAAACTACATTAAAATAATGTTATGGATGGAAAGTCAAGCGCTCAAATGTTAGGAAATGCTAGAATTAAGCTGTTCAGTCCCCATTTGGCCCCCTTGTACACGTCATACAATCTTTAAGTATGTGATCACACATGATTTATTTCCACAAGGTCCCTGCCTCATTCACTGCAGAGGGGATCTGATTGTGCACTATACTTACATACAGGGCAGAGCAGGGTGGTCATGGTTTACACCTCAGGGAGGGAGATTTGGTATTTAAGCTAACGTATAATATTGGCACAAAACCAAATGGGAATAAATGGGCCATGAACAAATTTAGGCTGGAAATTAGAAGAAGGTTTCTAACAATGAGAGAAGTGAGGTTCTGGATCAGCTTCCTAATAGGAGTTCTGTGGGCAAACAACTTAATTAGTCTTAAGATAGAGCTTGATACATTTATGAGTGGGGCTTCTGTTGTGGTTGGGAGGCAGGGCTTGGTGGGTCTTTCCAGTTCATGATGTCTTATGTTCCTAAAATCTCATGCTTCAGGACTTCAGCCAGTCACCTGTAGAGTCAGGAAGAACCCCCCCCCCAACTGATGTATTAATATTTTTTTGTTTTTCTCTCCTTCCTCTGAAGCATCAGAAAAGGTCGCAGCTGGAGATGGGACACTGAACAGGGCGGCCAGTGCTGTGAGGTGGTACGGAACATTCTCTCTCTCAGGTGCTTGGCTAACTGGTTCTTAGTCATGTGCTCAGGGTCTAACTGATCACCATCTGTGGGGTTGGGAAGAATAAAGTATGTGTGTGAATGTATTCCAGTTATTAATTTTTAATTGAGCTTTTCCATTTAATGTAGGTTATGGAGGCAGCCTTACACTCCCGCTGGCATGACTGGCCAGAAAGGACATGCCAGTCATCCTGGTGAGCTGATTGCTCACTTTAAGCCCTAATGGTCTATCCCTTCTGGAGATTGGGCTGAAGCATCTACTAGCTGACTTGCCTCCTATTCCTGCTGTGATTCCCTCCTTCTACTTGGCGCACCATGGGCGGATGCTTCTCCAAACCCAAACCAGGTGACTGCTGTTCAGTGTTCCTCTAATCGTCACATGTTCGCCTGAGTAGCTGCAGATGAAACTAGGTCAGGCCCGCAGAGGTGCTCCACGGGGAGGCTGCTTCAGAGAATTTTAATTCTCTGCTCTTACACGGAGGATTACAGGGCAGTTAATCCGCAGAACATTCCATTTCATTTTCATTCACATGCAGTGAATTGTGTAAAACCTTTTAAAGTGCTGAGGGGTAGGGGGAAAAACTCAAATCTCAGTAAACTAGAGATAAAAAGGCTCACCGGGGTGTCAGTCGCAGCCTGGGACAAAGGTAAGAATCCAGCCTTGATCTGAAAGACAGAGATTCAAAATCTATAAGCACATTTCCCATTTGATTTGCCCTCACACATAAACTGCACACTCCCATCCTGCTGCCCTGTACACTCCCACACAGAGCAGCTGTTCAGTCCCCTTGTGGGCCACATCCACAAAATGATGGTGTGGTCTTCCCACATGCTTGCCCCACCTGAGGTTACTGCTGTATGCTCCCCTATCCCTGATCCTCTGCCTGATTCACAACACTACTGTATTCTCCCTCACCCCACTTTCAGAACTGCACTGCTCCCAGGCTCAGCCCCGAAGGCACCGCTGTACACTTTCCATCTGCCCCCCGGATCCTCATGGTGAGTGAAAACTCGTGGGGAGGTAATAGGTCCATTACGGACAAGGACTGTAAATTGCTTCAAAGGAGCAGTGTGACAACCATCCTTAAAACAGGCAATATTGTGGCCTTGCTCAAGAAACAATCTCAACTCTAGTAACCTCATCAATTATTGACCAGCTTCAAATCTTCCCTTTTTGGAAGATCTTCCATAGCTGTATGCAGTGTTGTTGTAGCCGTGTGGGTCCCAGGATATTAGAGACACGCGGTGGGCGAGGTGATATCTTTTATTGAACCAACGTCTCTTGGGAACCGTACTCACAGTGTCACAGCTAATTACAAGATCAAACAGATAGTTTAACATAAGTAGTTAGCACATAGTCTTTATTCTTTTAGTTAGCACATCTTTAAAAATTTCATTATTTTAAGCTGATCTTATAATTTTGGGGGCCTGATTCATCATTTTTGAATTCTTGAAGCTGGCAATTCGGAGCATGGCATATACTGAGGTGACGCTCTTTTGTACAATATTAGCATTTGCAAATAATATAAATAAACCCCTTCATCTACTTTATTTTGTATCTTTAAAAAATACTCCAATTATCGGGTTAGTTCATGTGTCCTTCCATTATATGTACCTGCAGAATAGTAACAAGGAGTCTGGTGGCACCTTAAAGACTAACAGACTCCTTGTTGTTTTTGTAGATACAGACTAACACGGCTACCCCCTGATGCAGAATAGTAGTTGCTTTGCCATGAGAGCAGGGGCGGCTCTAGGCACCAGCGCTCCAGCAGGGGCGGCGTGCCGGTCGCCGTGAGGGCGGCAGTCAGGCTGCCTTCGGCGGCGTGCCTGTGGGAGGTCCGATGGTCCCGCGGCTTTGGCGGCAATTCAGCGGCGGGTACGCCGAAGGCGTGGGACCGGCAGATCACCTGCAGAAACGCCGCCGAATCCGCGTAACCAGCGGACCGCCCGCAGGCGTGCCGCCAAAAGCCGCCTGACTGCCGTGCTTGGGGTGGCAAAAAACATAGAGCTGCCCCTGCATGAGAGAGAACTGATTTCTCATTCCTGACTATCTCAGGACTTAGATAGCAAGAGTCCTGGTCTTCAGTACAAAAGTTCCCCCTTTTGTTAGTCCAACAGAAGTTAGCCCTCACTGTTATTGAGTAAACAGAAGTACAGTCATATGTGACTGCTTAAAAAATTGCAAAACATTAGATCACATTCACATTAAGCTTAAGACCCTCTTTTAGTAGGTTTAAAAAGGGCTTAAAATATGCTGGAATGCAGTCCAAGTACATCAAGCCAATCGGATTAAAAAAAAGTTAAGAAACTTGGTGTTTATAAACCTCTTATTTCTTAGAAATCTAATTTTCCTTGATCAAAATAGTTCTGTTTCCAGTCTGGACAAACCCAATTACCACGGAGCCCCAGACTCCAGAAAGGCACAGCAAAAGGGAACACAGCTCCCTACCTAGAGCAAAGGGGCTGTCCCAGAGGCACCCAGTGTGGGGCAGGGTGGGGTGAAGCAGTGAGTTGCCGGGATGGGGAAGAGGTGAAGTGGACCAGGGGGGTGCCATAGAGAGGAGCAGGTGGGGTGAAGATGGAAGGTTGTGTGGGGAGGTGAAATGGAGCCACACTGTAAGGGGGTGGGGTGGAGGCACCATGTGGAGGAGTGGAGCCATGAGGCACAGGGAGCAGGTGGAGCTGAGAGGTGCAGTGGCGGGGGGAGGGTCTGGGAGGTGTCCTGAGGGAGAGGGATGAGGGGGAGCTGAGAGGTGCAGTGTGGGAGAGGAGCTAAGAGGTGCAGTGCGGGGGGGGAGCTGGAAGGTGTTCTGAGGGAGAGGGATGAGGGGGGCTGAGAGGTGCAGTGCGGGGGAGGAGCTGGAAGGTGTTCTGAGGGAGAAGAATGAGGGGGGCTGAGAGGTGCAGTGCGGGGGAGGAGCTGGAGCCTGGAAGGTGTTCTGAGGGAGAGGGATGAGGGGGAGCTGAGAGGTGCTGTGTAGTGGAGGGGACAGGTGAAGCATCCATGGTACCTTTTTGCTAGGGACAATTGTTTTGAAAATTACTTTAGTGATACTGGTTATTGTGTGAGCCGCCACATTTTTGTGAAGTGCTGCACTAGTTAGCCCCTTATGGAGCTGTCTAGTGTCATATGCTGCCCTACTGGTTTTGCATAGCAGTGGTTCTGAACCTGTGGTCCATGGACCCAGACTATGTCTAAAGGGTCTACAAAAGACAGATTGAAAACTAACTGAACAGAATTCTACTCTATATACAGACAATAGATTTCCAAAGGAGCCCACACCTCCATTCAAAATGTTTTAGGGGTCCGTAAATGAAAAAAGGTTGAGAACCACTATTGTGTAGTGCCATGGATTTGTTGCTCTGTCTGTTAATTCAGCGGATAGGGAAGTATGTACTCCCACATATCTGCTCACGAAGCTCCTCCTTTGTCCATGGAGACTCATATGGGTTCTTTAGGCCATGCCTATACTATAAAATTAAGCTGACCTAACGCCCGTCGGCATATAACCGCTGCAGTAATTATATTGCTTGTGCATGTCTACAGTTCGCTCCTTGTGTCGGCAGTGCACGTGCTCAGCCGGAGCACTTGTATCGATTGTACTGTCAGTGTGGGGCATTGTGGGGCGATTCCTGAAAGCCAGTAACAGTCAATGTAAGCAACGCAGTGTTGACCTAACCTAACTACATTGACCTTGACTCTACGCCACCCATGAAGATGGAGTTATTAAGTCGACGTAGTGGTGCAGTTATGTCAGCGAGAGTGAAATTTGGGTGTAGACACTTCCAACTGACCAGCAGTTAATGTGCTACAGCAGGTTCCACAAGGCTGCATGACCATAGTGTGAAATTACCTATTTTTTACCATGACTGTGCCGTGCATTATGCACAATACTCATTTTGGAGAGTAGCAGAGCTTTGATCCACCAAAGCTCTAGGCGGTCTCTTAGGTCATGTCTACTATAAGGAATGTTTGTACAAAAATTGCCACAGGTGCTACCTCTGGTAACACCAGTAATAGCACTGGTGGGAGCCCTAATGTAGATGGCTTTCAGGCTCTGGCAGTTGTTTTCAGTGTCAGTTAACACTGCTGAAGAGAGTAAGTCTAAATGTCAAGATCCTGAACACTGCTGCTGAGCTGGAAAACTTTCTATACTAGGCCTCCCATCGGTGCAGTTACTGGTGCAGCTGAACCGGTGGTAACATTAGTGAGAATTTTTTTTACTAAAGTTCCCTAGTGTTGATAAAGCCTTCATAAAAAAGATGAAGGTCCTTCTTTGTAGAGCTGGCAGCTAATGTAGGCTTTGCATGATGAGACAGGCCCATTTCTTGGTTTTACCTCTTCAGTGCTGTACTGAGTACGCGGTATGTACACCACGCTACAGAAGGATTGAAGAGAGGGTTGTTTACAGACTTTGAGCTCTGCTCAGAGGTAAGGTGTGCAAATATTACGGCCTTTGCACTGTAGTAGGAACGTGCGATTGGGCGTGCGCAGGTCTTTGTTCATTAAGAGCTCATTGAAAGAGGCCCCTCTCGGGTGGGTGAAACGAAATTGGGCAGGAAGAGAAGAACTCCGAGGAGGTTTGTATGGGAGTAAAAACCAATTTGGGTTTGTGATGTGGAAATATCCTGACAGAAAAACATTATGTAAATATGTAAATAGTTAGATGGGTCATATAGGGCATCACCCTTTGGGACTCCATAGAGATGATGGGCGGAGCTGAGACAGGAGTGTTGTCATGTTGGGTGTTGGGCAATCACACCTCCTCATGGAATTTGTTGGGCAGGATAGCCACTTCCATTCAGGTCAAGTGAGGGAACAATGACATGCCCCTTTGGCTAGTGAAAGCTGAAACAGGGACTAGGCAGTGGCTGTGCCGTGACTGTGCCATATGGTCCAAGGGGTTTTCCAGGGGATCTGATAACAAATGCTGGGGCAGGGGTTTGACTGGATTGCAGCTGTATGTCTGTGTGTGTGTGAGAGAGAGAGAAGAAGCAGAAACACGACCGAAGCGCACAGAGAAGGCAGTAAGGAAGCTCTAGCCGCATCCAGAGAAGGTCTTGTAGCATGACCTTCAGAAAAGATGAAAGAGAGCTTGTGGATAAAGGGATGGAGCTGGAAAAAGGCTTGCCACTGAGAGCAAAGACTCTGTCTCCATCTGTTTGATTCCTACTGTGTTCTGGGAAACAGGACCGTGTGCATTCTTTGTAAGTAAACAGGATTGCATCCAAGAAATACCTGACTGCATCAATTTCTTATGCTCACAAAAATAATCTGCTGGACCCTAATTACTGGCTAACCACTTGAGTCAAAAGCAGTAACAATACTGTATCTGGGTCCAATACTTGCATGGTGTTTCTGTACCATAGATAGGGATGGATATTTCCCCCAGGGGTCTAGCTGGGTAGCAGAGCCTACACATCTAGGCAGTGTGTTTTTACATGAAGATAGCTAACTCAAGATAACCATCTTGCTGTAAAATCAGTGTGGAGACAAGGCACAGTAGTTTTTAATTCCAGGTAGCTAGTCAAGGTATATTCCAGGTGGTGCTATAGTGTGGATCTTGACTAACTATACCAAGGTAAAAAGAGCTGCATCTCATCTCCACTGGGGTTTTATATCAAGATAGTCATCTGGAGTTAGCTCTCTCAATGACAGAACACGCCTTTGTTTGCAGTTAGGGCATAGCCACAGGGCAGGGATGGGAGGAGGAGATGCCTCTGTCTAACAGTCACCAACAGCTTCCACTTAAGGGCTGTTAAGAGATAGTGCCAAGCCCACTAGCCTTAATGGTTCTAGCCTGACCTCCTAGGCAGCCCCTAAACTGGTTTGAAGAGGGTGGGTGAGGAACGGCATCATGATCTGCACCCACCAGATACAGAATCCAGCGGGGAAAAAGGAAGGTTGTGTGGCTTAAATAAGGACAGACTCTGAAGAGGAATCAGACAGAACTAGAATGAGACCAACAGAAGAATCTGGGCTTTCTAAGAGTATATGA